TATTAGAACCCTCCACACTCCACGCTGGCGTTCTCACCCACCTTCATCCTTGTGCTGGAAATGTTGATCAGAATCTGTCATATTGTTAAGAAGTCATCCTTCCATAGGTCCTATTAGTCTCCCTCGTACACCGTAGGATCTGTCTGCTTTCTCCATGGTTCAAGTATTTCATTCGATCCCTGCCACCCAATCTGTGCTACTCGAGGCGTTATTACTCATCCACTACGTCTAGGTGACTAATTCGAAGCAAAAATCGTTGACTAAGTCTCATGGTCAAGACATTGCTTCATTGACCACGTGTATGGTAAAACAAGCCTAATCTCGGTCAACTAGTTCTAGTCTCTGCAGCATCTATCCTGTTTCTATCCGTAATACAATGTCTATGACTTGTTATGCCCAAGTTTTAAGCCTACATTTCGCAATTTTATGCTTTTTTATACTTAGTTTCCAAAAAGCATAGCCCATACTGCCCCATTTGTCACTTTTTTTTCCAGTATTTGCTATGAAAAACCAAAATTCATGGTTTAAATCGAGAGGGGGATTAGTTATACAATATAATTAATCAAGCAACAAGATAAAACCATATGAGAGCTGTATACAGCATATTTTACTTAAGCTTATGAAGTTTGTAGCTGAATTTTCCAACAATAATATTAATGGATATTATTTTTTCATTCAATTTCACAGTATTGCTCTCTAGAAAGTATAATTATCAGGGTTGGACTGCCATTTTGACCTCATCTCATTAGCATTTGAATAAAAAATATAACAAGTATAATGCAACGATTTTCTATAGATGCTAACCACCGCGTCATACCAGGCCTATTCAGATAACATTATATGGTGGTTACGCCGATGAGGCATGTGTCGAGAATATGCGATGAACTAACAAGGTTCAAGTCCCTCATTGGGTGCTAATTAGACCCAAGTGAGGTCGAAACTGCAGTCTACCCTAATTGAGAATAACTTTTAAGGAAACAAGGCTATGTAAAATTCCATGGAGACGCAACGTCTACCTGTATCATTGTAAGAAAATCCAATTACCACTCCTCTCATCACTTAAACAAAATAGGGTGAATATACTTCATATATAAATTAGCTACAGGTAGTCTTAAAAACCAATTTATAGACGAAAAACGAGTAACACAAGGCAAAAACGCAAGTTTGTCTAGTCGGCACTCAAATTAGATGTAATAAGATGTCTGTCTTTACTTAAACTTTAGGATCGCTATATAACACAGGAGAACGCGAGGGAGTATAGCGTAATGTTTACTTAAAGAGATTACCTATAGCACTGGCCAGGTTTGAATCACGCTGAGATGCTTATGATACTTAAATGAGCTCAAAACTATAGTCCACCATGTATGTAAATAACATGTGAGCAGCAAGACTAAGTTAATCAAAGATATGAAAACTAAGATAGTGTGGGCTTCTGTTTGATCGCAGTCTCCATAAGCTTTGTAGTGTTGGTTCGAAATTGTTTTCGCAGGTTGGTCGGAGCGTCAGGGAGATCTTGTGGAAGATACCTAGCGCCATGTCCTCTATCATAATATTCGTGATTTCCAACATTGGACAATTGGCTGGGTACATTCCCAAACATATTGCCAGCACTTTAATCAGCACCTTAAGTGAAAGGCGCCATCGTAAGGGGAGTTAAAACTTATCAAATTTACAACTGAACGCAATCCCCTTGACCAATTTTCTGTCCAACGGTTGTGAAATCACTCCTTGCCCCTATTTTTTGTTTTACCTTAGAGTGCTGCATCTCGTTCTCTCAACACTACTTCATAAAGCTCATCCACTTATTCACACAAGTCTGTGTTCTCGTTTCCTCAAATCGCCTAGGATTGTGTCGCTACAAGTAGCTTACGTGAAGCGTACTAATCTACATCATCAGTATTGGGTGCAGTTTGCAGGGCTACTGACCGATATTCTGTCAACTATTTTTCAAACCAACTTATCAATTTGTCATTGCTACACATCAGAATCACTGTTTCAATGTCCGGAACCGGATTGCATAGGAGCCTTAAATTCCCATCCCCGATTATGCCATATTCGAAGATTTAGTGCAGATGATTCCAATGCACATGCCAGTGCCTATGAATCTTTATCTACCTAAGCTTCAAACTCATGGCTCGATTATCCTCTTTCTCATACCCACTCACATTATGTCTCATTCTTTGGGGCGCCTTAGGTCATAACCGCTTTTGTGAGAATGCAGTGCTTTTCTTTTTTTCTTTGCATCAAGAAAAGTATACTCCTTTCGCCTATCAAGCTGATATTTCTATAAAATCCTAGGGTACTGGGATAATGTTCTTGGGTGTATTAGATGGTATCCCCACTGTTCAAGCATTCCACTAGTAACATCCCGTTCAGACACAGATGAGAAAAATATACACAACAGCTACGCACACACACACTGTTAACCTAAATATGGTCCACCAACACTTTTAGTCTTTAGTTTCATATCTTACGCCTCATAGATGAAACGCACTGGGTAATTTTTTTTGCCAATTCAACGTCTGACTACACTCATTTAATTATTAGGGGGACTTTAATTTCGTATGAAAGTGAATGAAGACGAGATTCGTTGGTCGATCTCACCAGATGAGGACGGATAAATCTTGTGGGAAGTGCCACGAGTTGCAACGACTTACAAATATATTCCTGGAAAGTAATTATCCTTTAGGCCTAATTGAGAACAATATCTCTCTACCGAGGAATAAATTTTCAGACGGAGACCATTTAGTAAAAGATGAACAGACTGAGACCTTTTTCATGTCCTAATTTTACCGCCATGCCTTCTCTCAAAAAAGATAGGCGAATTAGTAAAGAAGTGGGGCATAAAAACAGTGTTCAAAGAAACCCTCACACTTTCTTCTATCATGCCATTTTTTAGAGAGAAATATGACCCATTACAAGATTGTTTGTTCATGTGGTCGATGTTATGCTGGTGCGACATGCCGATCTATTCGACAAAGAATAGAACACAAAAATGCTTGCAAAGCAAGCTGGATCCAACGGTCAGAAGTGGCCGAACATATGGTAGAAACTGGACATGAGATAGAATGATCTCAAACTAGGTTTGCTGATTATGGTACATCTGTGGTTAAATGAAAAATAAGAGAGGCTATTGAAATAAATAGCATAGAAAATAAGTTAAATGTAAGGAACGATGGTAGAAAGTTGAGTAGGAATTACTTATGCTTGATTGATAGATTGAAGGAAAGAGAGGGTGTTGAGCCGCCGTCAAAAAGAAGGCGAGTCACTTTGTCTGCTCGGTGATGGTTCTAACTTCACTCACATTCGTCCAACATGCTACAGTAAGCTCGTTAACTAAACCAGGCATGTCAGATTACGCGACCCCAGTCTTGCCTTTCCTTGGAGGGTTAAACGTTAATGACTATAGACTGAGAGGTTAGGACAAATGATTTCGGCCTTGAGTTTAATGCTTATAAGCTCATATTTCATTATCTCAACTATACTTGTTTACGGACCTACACCATCTCAGTCAGGATTTCTCTTGGGTCATTAGGTCTTGAGGCTCAGAACAGGAGATTTAACCTTTGGCAAGTCTGATTTAAGAACCGTATTGCATAGACGCTAACACGCACACATACACATACTCATACAATCGGGCAAAATAACAGGACCAGTATGAAAAAAAATTAACCAAACCACTCTATATCAATCTATCTATCTAGGTTCTTTATTTTTAATTTGTTGGCTTAAGTCTATATAAGAAGATAGAGCCGGATAGTGTTCTTGCTTCAGTGTTAACGTGAGACTTTTACAAAAATGACACCTAGCTCTGATGATATCCATCATATAATGGACGAAATCTAAGCATGTTTTTACACGAAACGAGG